ATTCCAAAACAGTTTATTTCTGTTTGAAACCGGGAAGGGCCCTGTTTGGATGAACAAAAAATCCAAACCAATTTAATTTGAATTCTGGATTTCATTTTAAATAAAAAATAAAATTAAATTCAAATGTTTTTGGCCCAAAAAGATTAGAAGCCCAACCCCAGCCCGCCTGCGCGTGTGGTGATTTTTGGGTCCAATGGATCTAGCCCATTTTGCCCATAACCCCTCCCTCTAAAACACTTGGGTACCCCTTGGGGCACACCCCAAGTATCTCACCCTAAGCCTTATAAACCCTTTCAAAACTTCCCACCAAATCAATGTGGGACAAGCCAATTTACAACCTTAAGGAATTTTCCACCAAAACTCCATTTCCATGGAGCACACTTTGGCTTCAATTTCCCATTCACTCGGTAATGGTTTTGAGCAACCAAATATACCACGTGAATCACAACGCGGTATAGAACGTGTTACCACTTTGACCCGAGTAAATCGACACTCGGGGCCCACCTAAAAAATAGACCGAACTTAGGAAAAAATTCTGATTTTATCCAGAATGTTATAACCATTTCCAACAACTTTTACATAATATTACTCTACACAACCATGTTGGATCAAAGTGTTGACTTAATCGTTGGAGGATCCTCCCAACCTACTTAAATTGGGGGTAATCTCTAACATTGGGTTTCTTTTGCAAGTCTAGGATAAGACGTACCATCTCGCTGATCACTTGTGGAGACAAATTTATCATTCACAATTTCAATTCTTTCAACCAAAAAAAAAATTTAATAATAATATTTTGAAATCGTTAAGAGATCTTTCAAACACAACTAATGATGAATATGAAATTATAAAATAAATGACAAAAATTAACTATCTTCACTGTTTAAAGACAATGAAAATAGTAAAACTTCATCGTCTTGTGATAGTGAAATTTTATTGTCTTCATGGTTATTATGAAAACCAATAAAATTTGACTTTCTGAACATATTGAAATTCCTATCGCATTCACCCGAAATTCCTATCGCATTCACCATTATGAAACTATTGAAATTTGACTTTATGAAGACGCTGAAATTTCCTCAAAATAGAGAAATTTCCATAACGACTAAAAATGCATACAAAGAAATTTCTGTAAGGACAAAAAATGCATAATTGATGACCCAAAAAAATTAATTTATGAAATAGTGACTGCTTTGAAAAGGTAAGTGACACGGTTATGCTTGAAATGCAATTGAAGTACAGTTTCTAAAGAACAATCAAACAATCTTGGATAATTTAGCACATCATACAACAGTTGACATTTTGCTTGGATAACAAAAATAGTTGCTAGATTTATTTATTTTTAATAACACAGTAAACAAGTAAAACAATAACCATACTAAAATCAAGCAATTTCAAACTTTATTATTTGGTAGGGTTACCTTCATATTAAAATGGTTCATACCAATATCAATGGTAGAGATAGAATGGAAAATTGTTCTATAAAATATGGATGCACGAAAGAACGATGAAGAATCACTACAACATATAAGAATTTTAGAAACTAAATTTTTTGGTCTCTAAAAGTGAAAATTTTGTTGCAATAGACATTTAGGGACCAATTTCTATCGTCGTGAGGATAATCGCTAAAAGATCGTCCCGAAAAATCAAAAATAAGGCTTTTAGCAACAAAATTTTGAAAATGTAACTAACAAATACACTTTTAGAACAAAATAATTTGGTCTCAAAATGATTTATTTTTTGAGACAAAAAATTTTGTCCCAAAAAGATAATAATTCATCACTAATGTCCAATTTTCGTTGCTAAAAATATAATAATGACACTTTTTGCAACAAAAATATTTAGTCTCTAAAAAATAATTTTATCCCTAAATTTTAGTCTCCAAAACCTTAATTTTTTGTAGTGAATGAAATATGGATATATATATATATATATATATATCTTTACAAGAATTGTCAAAGAATTCTAATTTTCAAGCTAATGAACTAGAATTTGTATAGAAGGAAACAAACATCTTCCTTGAAGATGCTGAGAAGTTGAATGAGAAAATATGGATATTATATATATGATATATCTTTATAAGAATTGTCAAAAGAGTCTAATTTTCAAGCCAATGAAGTAGAATTTGTGTGGAAGGAAACAAACATCTTCCCTGTAGATGCTGAGAAGTCTGGCATGCATTCCTTGAAGAAGCTAGGAAGTTGCCATAATTTCATGAAAGATTATATCATAATCGATATTATTATATAAATTGTATAGTCCAGAATGCAAAGTGTCATGATTTGTCCAACTATTTCATTTACATGTAATAGTAAATGTACAAGCAAACACGATGGCACCATCCGCTACTTTGTTGGTTTGATCTCATAAAGTTCATGAAAAAATCAGAAGAGGCTCAACCATTAGGTGACTTAGGCTGTAACTTAAAAGTCACAAAAAAAATTTAAAAAGCTTTCAAAAAAAATTTGTTGTTGAAGGCCCAACTTTTTGAGGGCTTAGCTTCCGTTTGGGAAGTGGGTTGGCTTTTGGCTTTTTGACTTTTTTTGCTATTTTAGCCTGGGCTTAAAAGCTTGGTTTGGGAAGGACTTTTTGACTTTTTGGCTTTTTTGAGTTTTTTTGTGAGAGAAGAATGTAATGATTATGGGTTGGATGTGATGTTTTGTTTGTTATGCTAAAATAGCCTATTTTATTTTTTGTAGCTAAAATAGCCAAAAAATCCTGCAGACTCACTTGTTAAATTAGATAAAGTCTCATTTTTATATGGGTGCTGCTATTAGCTTAGGACCTTCATTTCTTTTGAACCCACTCTTTTTTCTTTGGATCCCACCATTAGTGAAATTGATCTTCATTAGTGAAATTGATCTTCATTAGTGAACGTTCAATCTCAGACGTTCAAAAAATTTAGGCCGTTATTGTGAAAACCATTATGTCGATTTGATCACATAACGGTGAAAGGAGCATGCACAGACAAAAAGGACAACAAAAAAAAAACACTTATATTTCCAGAGCTTAAAAATACAAGAACCTCAGTTACAAAACACTTTCAAGTAGAACTCCCAACTCAGTGAGACTTTTGTTCAAGAAAGTATCACAATTTTTTCCATCTAAATTTGGTTCTCACTTTTTTTACTAGCTTTTAATTTTGGCTTAAACTGGAAAAATTATTATTATTATTATTATTATTATTATTATTATTTTCAATATGCAAAAATATCAATCGAAAAAGTATCCATAAAAAACAAAATCCCATTAAAAATAAAACACAGCATCCACGCTTAGTGGAGGCCTTTTTTTATCACAAAATTTGAAGAGTTCCACTTTTGATGGTAAGCAGGTGCCGGGGTACTATGCCATAAGAACTAAGACATTAAAACAAACAAACTAGTTAAAATTTCATTTGAATTTAACCTATTAGGAACTCAATTTGATTAAAATGTATTTGAGATGGATTCAAAAAATAAATAAATCAAACTTTACACATAAAATAGAAACATATAATGGAACGAAAGAGTATTGGCACACTAATATTTATTTTAAGGGTAAATTACAGTAAATCATCTTATGACACATTGAATTTTAAAATTCAATGGGTAACTTTTTTAAAGTAATATTTTGTTACACTCAACCTTTTTTGTTAGGATTATACAAGGAATTTACGCAAATTTAGGTTATTTGTAAAACACATGACATATTTATTGAGTTTTTAAAATAATAATGTCCTTGGCTTGTGATCTCATTTTCATTTTGCCACTAAGATAAGGAAAGAAAAATGTAATTAAACGCATGACCTAATTTCATTTAAATCCTTAACATAATCTGAACAGAAAATGTTAAATATAACAAGATAATACTTTAAAGTAATTAAACTGTTTGAGTTTTGAAATTCATAGAAGCAAAACTCATGAGTTAATAATTTACTATAATTTATCCATATTTTGAATGTAAACCCCACCATAACGTTTAATCCCAACCGTCGATGATTTTTTTTACTGCCAATGTCCATTTTGTGTGCTTAACATTTCTTGTTCTTCACTTAAACACAGTTTATTAACTAAATTTAAACAATAATGCGAGTTGCACAGCTAGAACACAGAAAATATCTCTATTTGGTTTGATTTTTTAAATAAATTTCCTTTTGTCTTTAGGAGTGCATTTTCTGTGGGCTTACCGTACTATCATCGACCACTCAACTTGTTTAATAACTCAAAAAAGTTATTCAAAATCAAAAATTAAATTTGATTTTCAAACTCAATAATATAACAATCAATTAACATATTAAAAGTAACACTTTCTTTCTCATATTTTCGCTAATCATCAACTAATCATATCACTTACACATCATTAAGTAGATTTTTATATCATTTTCCTAACTCAAAAGTTTTAACTAGCCAAAGGCTCTTCAATGTCAAAATTTTCACTAGGGGAAATATGTAAACCAATAATATAGCAACCATTTGAGTCAAAATCAAAGCCATAAATGCACACCCACAACCATACAAACAACACCCATATCCTTTCCTCATTAAGAACTTGGATAACATATCCATCCCACAATCCACACCTTAAAGCCCTACCACTAACAGCAGTTCCCACCATCATTTTGTGAGGGCCCAATTCCAATCCACTATCATAGAAAGAAAATTAATATCATATCTTCATACAAAGAAATACAATGACAATCAATACCCACCAGTCACCCCCACATTTGATATTTCTCCCACTTGAACTATGAAATGAAAACCACTTGAATCAAACCCCACCCCAGATCAGCAGCAAGGCCATACGGTACTATTGCTTTCAGATTTGTTCAACTACATAGAAAAACAGACAAATAAACAAGAATCTAACATAGGGTAGCATAAAACAACAGAGTACAACAAGGCATCACATTGTTTTGGTCTGTACAAAATCACAAAGGACCGATTCTAGTCAAACTAATTACCTTTCTCTAATTACGAATCTTATCTTCTCTTTTTTTTTTTTTTTGGGGGGGGGAATCAATCGGGGGGGGGGTCTTTTTTGCGGTGATATCATTCTCATGCAACACTGATAATGCTATCCCCATTGTTGAAGCTTGACATCACCCGAAATGCGGAATGCCTTGAAAACTGATTCTGATCGGACGATAGTGACAGATTGAGAGACAGTGGCACTGGATCTTCCATGGATTTCTGATTTAAGTTAAGATCCACCATTGTCGTTGCATTGGGGATGGGAAGAACTGGAATTGGACGGATGAGCATTGCGGACTCACGATGTAGATGATCCATTTGTCCAAGGGTTAGTTTTTCCATTGGATTCTCAATCTGTACCGGCACTAAAACAGGATGGACTGTCATGGGGAAGGGAAGCACTTGAGATCCACTGATATTAGAAGTTTCTGGTGGAGGTAGTTGGGTTGGTGCCTGAAGTGGCTGAGCTTTGCCTTCTTGATGAACTTTCTCTTCTTCCATTGGGATTGAATTAACCTAGTAATTATCAAACACACATGTTTAGGGGGACAAAAAACCTAACAATGAGTAAGAATGACCAATATCATCAAATCTTAGAGCATCTCCGATCATCTGCTTCTTTCTTTTTTTTTTCATGTCCTAAAAACCTATTTAACCAATTTTGACGGAAAAAAACCCATCTCCAATCCTTACTCTTTTTTAAATTTCATCAAATTTAAATAAAAATATGACTCTTGGAAAATTAGTGAAGAATTATCTCTCTCTTGATTTCATACAAATTTGATGAAATGGTTAGAGTACACTTTTTTTATCTATTATGTCATCAAATGCAGGATTGGAGATGCTCTTAGACAATATTTGATCAGCATATTAGTACTTTGATCACTTTTGAAATATGAAATTGTCGAATTTTTCCCCGTGAAAAGTTATGTGTGAAACAGTATCAAACTAGTAAAAGAGTAAAAATGATGTTATTAGACGAAATTGAAGACATATTTGATATCAGAATCCAATTACCGATTCGGTGGTGATGTCAAAGAGGCTAGATCGACGGCGACGGCGATTGAGGTTGCTCCGCCGGAGAAAGTATTTCTGAGCGTGGCTGGCGACTTGTGTGGGAGTACGAGTCTTCACAAAATTCCTTGAAATTCCTCTCCAGTCTCCTTTGCCTACTTTTTTAAGTCCTAAGAGGAACAACTTGTGCTCTTCCTCTGTCCATGGAACTCCTAATCAATTTCCAAAACCAACACAAATCACTCATTTTCGGATAAAAATTTCCACAACAAATTCAATTTCTATTTAATTTCGCCTCGGACGGTCCAAGCAAATAAACTACAAGATCAATAACATTCCGATGAAAATCCACAATATTTACCTAAAAGATCAATAATTGTTGGTTCAAAAAAATTGTATTTACAAACATATCACACATGTACGCATAGACATAGATTAATTATCAACAACATGAAAAATAACTTGCAGCGAACAAATCAATAAACTTCAAATTACAGTAATTAATGAAAAAAGTAAAAAAAATCAAGGAGAGAAGAGATGATCGGAGAACTAACCACGTTTGCGCTCGCGATTCCCGGAGGAGTGGTGGTGAACGGCCTCGTCAGCGGAGGCGTAACCTGCGGCGGCGGCGGCAACATTGGAGGACTCCTGTGGCTGCTCGTACTGCGAGAGATTGTTCATGCTGACGCTTTCCTGTCATCGGATCGACTTGACTCGGACTCAAAAAGCATGATCTCGGTGTGGGAATTGTGGCCGTTGGTGGCGGACTCCGAGCAGAAGCTTGACATCTTCAACAATCGATGTTTCTCCCGATTGAGGAATCTTTAGAGGCGGTGATGGAAGAATGAGAAATTATAAAAAAGAGTGGAGTGTGTGAATTTGTGAGTTTGTGTGGGGTGTATTTAAATATCATAGGGATGGACAGGTGTGACTTGCGAGTGAGAGCATCTCCAATGCACTAGGCATATAATACTTGTTAGTTAAAATGCCTAGTGTGATTCACTTTTTTCAATTCCAACGCACTAGGCATATGATTAGGCATTTTAGCTCAACTCATATTCACTAGCTACATGTAGCTAGCCTTCAACGCTAGGCAAAATGTATTCAATCATTAGGATCATTTCCCTCCATCTTTGTTGTTGACGTGGCATTCTATAAAATTAATAGTATTTGGATTAATAGCTAAAATAAAGAGCATGGTTGGAGTAAAAACATAAAACAGTTGATAGGCAAAATAAAATATATACTTTATAGTAATATTTAGATAGGTAAAATGCCTACTACCGTTGGAGATGCTCTTACCTCATGTTGCTTGAAAATGGTCGAAAGCCCCAATCAGGAGCAGAATAAGCAGTAGAAGACTCTAGGAAGTTGATTGAAGTAATGATTTCTTTTAATAGTATAATTATTATATTTTAAAAAATTATTTTTTTAAAATTATTCATTGATAATACGTTTTTTTTAAAAAAATATCACTTCTCCTAATTACACTGTTTACGTTGTTGATGAATCAGGTCAATTACAAATACATCCATTGAGATTTGATTAAAATACAAATTGTCTTCTGTAATTTTGAAAATTACATTCCACCCTTGAGATTTTTAATTTCATAACAAATCGTCCCTTTTATTAATAAATCATCAAGTTAATTAACAGTTTTTAATGATGTTAGGAATATGTTTCAATTAATAATTTAGGTAATTTTATTATTGTATAGAAAAATAATTATGAATTTCATTTTTTTAGTTAATTCTGTTTAATAAAAAATACTAACAATAAGATATTTATAATTTTCCAAATCACAGTGGCAATCTGTATTCTAAACAAATCTCTGGGGGTGCATTTGTAACTTACCCTAATAAATTCAAAAGAAAGGAAAAATAGAAAATTTATATTATTTTTGTCCTTAATTTTTGAAAAGAGACTAATATTTTGGAATAATAAATAATAAAATAAGGAATTAATGTTTTGAAACGGATGGAGTAATTGTTTCTTGAAAGACAAGGGTCACACCCATAGGGTAAACATCGTATCGTATTATTTTGAGTTTGTGTTAAAGTTATTTTGACACTAACTTGACTTATTTATTATTTTGTGTTATTTTTTATTCGTATTCGGTTTGTGTCGTGTTAATGTATTATGTCAAAAAAAATTACTATTAACTAAAAATATCAAATGTTTGTAAAAAATTTCTTCACAAGTTAAATTTAATTAAACTAATTTCTATTAAATGAAATTATTTATAAAAATATTTGATTTCAACTTAATTTTATTTTCTTAATTTATAAAAATTATATTTTATTATTATATTTTTTATTAGATTAACTCAAATAATAGACAAAAAAAATATTTTAAATTCAATTAAAAGAAAAAAAACAATACCTATATTAAAATTGTATTTTATATACTTTTAATAAATTAGATGTAATTATGTAACAGATTAAAAAATGTCAAAATACTTTTTAGTAGAAATAATGTAGCACTCCGTACTTCTTAGTATAATGGAATTATATTTGACTCTTTGATTATTATAACTAGAAACCTTCTTAGTTGATATTTGAGCCTTGATTGGGTGTTGCCACAATGGTTGGGCGAGATTGGATCAAAAACTCTAAATTTGAATAGTTGTTCTTAAATAGTTTTTACTCTTTTATCATTTTTTTCTCTACACTTTGAATCTTGATGTGAAGCTAGAACTATTGAGAAGCTTATTTTTGGGGCTTTGATTTAGATACAAGAACGACCTAAAGTGAAGTTTGAATGAGAAAGTTATGCACATTTGAAATTTGTGTACCTAAGTTGTATGCATAGTTAGCTCAAACGAACTTTTAACCGCTTGAGCGGTTTGTTCAAGATTTATAAATTCTAATAGCCTAATTTCACCGTTCATTTGAACTTTTGACCGCTTGAGCAACCCATTCGAAGTCAGCCACTTTAAAAGTCACTTTTGGCCCACTTTTCTTTACTTTTTCAAATCTGCCAGTAATCTTGGGATTACCAAAAGTCTCTGAACAAATAATTTATATACAGGGGCTAGCGGAAGCAAATACAAACATAATAATGTCCATAGAACTGTGTAGATATACATAAGAATGAAAATTTAAAAACTTAATCTGCATAATCAAGACATCAGACCAACATCACCATTCATACATACAGACAAACAAAAGGCTTGTTCAACTAACAAAAGAAATACAAAATATTTTTAACATGATTCACAAAAACTTGACCACTGCAAACGAGAACCTCATCGGGAAGCACTGTGGCTGGCTGACAAAACGGAACTCTAGGCCATCAACTCTGAACCTGGTCACGCGTTTGGTCATCTACATACATACATAATAATACGGTGAACTGGAGTCCAATGAATAACAACAGAGTAAAGGATTTACGAATGATGTCCAAACAGCTTCAAGAATCAGAGTTCATATTAGAGACAAATTCAGATTCATATACGTAACCATAAGTCATAAGCAGTTATATGTGGTATATCCATTAGCTATCATATCATCTTGGTCCTAGGACCGATATACATAGTCGGTACCGACGACCCCAAAAGTCTATATCCTGTGCACAAGTAGCCATGGTATTATTTTCCCCAGACAAGGGCCACATGATCATAAGCCACGGTATTGTATCCCCTGGGCGAGGGCCATATAAACATATGTCACGGTATTGTTTCCCTCGGGGCGAGGGCCTTGTGAACTAAGAATGCCGCAAATACATTTCAGAAAATTGGACATTCATTCACTATTCATAAAATAGCATTTCATAAAACAGATCATATCTTAACATTCTGAAAATACTTGTAATCAAACATAGCTTTACAGAATCGTTATTCACAAATAGCCCCGATAGCAAAATGGACAGAGCAAACAAATTGGATAGCCTATGGCGCGTGACCTATACAAACACATAACAAATGCACATTGAACTCATGCCCAAAAAACACATAACTATTCATTTTCTATCTTGGTGTGTTTCTAATCCTTATCCTCATTATTATGTGTTAATTAAGGCTTAGAAATGCCTAAGATGCAATGAGGATGCCAAAATGTAAATTGAAACACTTAGTCAAATTTTAAAAAACAGGGCAGTCTGCTGAAGCGCAACTTCGGTCGCTAGAGCGATCTGCAAAGTCTGCAAAAGTACTGGTTGCTTGATTTTTCCGCTCAACGGTCGCTTGAGACAAAGACTGAGTAAAAAGGGTTTCCGCTCGAGTGCAACTTCGATCGCTCGAGCGGTTTACAAAAATTTGTAAAACTTCTGAGAGCATAAATTTTACACTCGAGTTTAGACTTCCTAGCTCGAGCGCAAGCACAAAACAAATGATGGTCGCTCAAGCATAACATCTGTCGCTTGATCGGTGATGCCGAATTCTAAAATTTCCAGATTTGCTTCCCAAATTCAAAACTCAATTTCAAAGCTTCAAAACACAGTATTTTAAGCCAAAACTTGGTAAAACATTGAGAAACTCATAATATGTGAAGAATTACAAACCATTTGGAAAAATCAAGCCCAAAAGCTTTGCCAATTATACAAAACAAAACTCAAAACTTTGAAACATAGCATGCATGTATAGAATTGAAATATCTTCTTTTCAAAACATAAATTCATGGAGTGAAAAGTGTAAAAACATGAAAAATCCTTCAAGTCCTACAAAAACCTCATGCATGTGAGAGTTAGTTGAAATTCAAAATAAAAATGGGATTAAAATGCATGTATGCATGATATGGTCTTCGTTTCTATTCCATCAACTCAATTCTTGAATTACTCAACTTAATTCTTTCAATTCATGTGCTAAGTGACTTGATTAGAAGGCTAAAAGGTTGAATTCTTACCTTAAATGATCAATTATGCTTAGATGCTAAGTTGATTAAGGTCACAAGTCAAATGCTCCAAATTTCTTCTCAATTCAACCTCCCTTTCTCTTGAACTCAAGCTCCTACACTTAAACTCTCTCTTTCTCTCTCCTACGTTTTGCTCTTAAAGAAATGAAGATAAATGTTATTGAGTCATCAATAGCCTTATATAGGCCTAATTAGAAAGCTCTAATTAATTCTTAATTAAGCTAAGCAATTCATAATTATTTTATTCTAATTATTTTAGGTTCGAATCGAATTTAATTAAACCTATCATAATTTTCTAAAAATTCCAAATAACACATAAACCAAGTCAATTTCGTGATCAGATGCCGATAAGGCTTTCAATTTACATAACGAAACAAAAACACAGATAGATCTTCCTACACCAAGTAGATATAAACACATATAACACAATACACATGCAATTAATGTAGAACTTCCTCTTAATTATTTATTAGGCATGCTTAATCATGGTTTAACAGTTAATCACAGATCGGGGTTGCTACAGTATTTCCCCCTTAAAAGAGTTTGGCGCTCCAAACTCGGATTATCTTCATTTGGGAAGAATATCGGGTCCAAAGGAAATAAATTAGAGTATCTTTTCATCATATCCTCTTCCGTTTCCCATGTTGCATAAGTTCCTCTATGATTTTGCCAATCAATCGTCACCAATGGAATTTTTTTATTTCTCAATCTTTTGATCCTGTCGTTTACAATTTGGATTGGTCGTTCTTCATATATATAGTCATCCTCCAGAAGTACATGTGTTGGTTCAATAGCATGGTGCGAATCCCGTAAATATTCCCAAAGCATCGAAACATGAAAAATATTATGCATGTTCTCCATAATCGAATGTAAAGCCACTTGGTACGTCACAAAATTGATTTTCTCAATAATTTCAAACAGCCCAATGTATCGTGGTGCCAACTTTCCTTTAACCCCAAATCAAGTTAACCCTTTTATTGGAGTCACTTTGAGAAACACATGGTCATCGACTTCATATTCCCTTTCTCTCCTCTAAACAT